TCGAACGAAGACGTGCGACTGCTGGAACCAGGGATGATGCCAGAACGTTCACTGCTGCTCCAGTGTCAAGAAGAGCATCTTGGTACCCAATACATTCGATCCAAACAGGAAATTTTGGAACCGACGATTGGCTGCTTGCCGCTGATGTAAGAGGAAGTTTTAGGGGAGTTACTGAAGAAAGCACCGTGCTCGCTCCCCGGTTAACCTTGGAAGCTTGATGAGTGGTTTCAGACCGGGCTGGTTGTTGTGTAGGATTGTGTTTCCTTCTACCATGCCGCCTTTTTCGCGCCGAAGATAAGGCTGAAAGTGGTGATGGTGGCTCTTGTGGCTGCCTAGCCCTCTGCACAAACTCTGTGGCCCTTTGAGCAGTTGCCGCTTTTAGCGCTTAATTCAGGGCATCTTTGACGTTTGTAGGTCGTGAAAGACGTACAAATACTTGAACCTCTCGATCAGCTATGGCATCTACAAAAGCGGAGGTGCCAATCTTATCTTTTGCGTCTGTTGGGGCTCCAGGATGTGCCTTGACAACCAAGCGCTGGATGTCGGCTGCCAGCTGCTGGAGGGTTTCGTGAGAGCGCTGATGGCGTAAACTTAACTCCGAGCTGTGCACTTGTTGGAGATGTCTATTTCCAAAACGTCGCTTCAGTGCTTCACGTAGGGCCGGGAATGATGGGTGAATACCATCGAATTGGTAAAGCACGTCTAGAGCTGGTCCTTGGAACTGGGAGACTAGCGCGTGAACTTTGTCGTCTTCCGTCCAGCCGTTGGCTTGTGCAATAATTTCAGCCTGGTACAGATAAAGGTGAACTGGTACGCTGCCGTCGAAGGGTTTTAACTTCAGTGACGGATTAGTCCTTGCACAGGTACCTCGGTTCACATTCGTCAAGAGGCTAACTGTTGAAACGATCTCACCTTCATCCAGAGCCGGTGGACAGGTCTTGAGGTCATCTACAGAAATTCCCAAAGCGTCACTTTGTGGCCCATTGATGTCGCTCGGAAAAACATTCAAGCCAGTTTGAAGGCGTTGTAGCGGCGTTGGAACGCTCATGAAGAAGCCATTTTCAGGTGCTCGCTGCGAAGTGTTGCCGGAGTGGGACGTAACGTGCAGGTGGATTCGCCATCGAAATTTAGAAGTGATCCCACCGCTGCCACCGAAATGTAAAAGGCTCACTGGAGTAAACTTCAGTTCCGGCTGACGGAATGCCACTTAACGCTCACAAGGGCGCCAATCTACTCCTCGCCCTCTTCTTCGTCTGCCTCTAACAATATATATATTGAAGGCGAACAAAACAACCTGAAACATTAAAGTTAGTGTTCCGTGTTTTCAAATAAATCGGAAAAACTCAGAAATTTTAATACACCAATAACCCCCCCGCCCCCCCCCCTTCCCCTCAAAGAAAAAAAAAAAAAGAGGAAGAAGACGGTATTTTACAATTAAGTTTGATCAGCGCACAGGGTAAATGGTCCTGGAAAAATGCCACGGCAGTTATCTTTACAACCACAGACCATTGTCAAAAGAGGTCTTACCGCTTATCTCGTCAAGGTTCATTCAGACAACAGGGTCACTTTCAAGTCACGACAAAAACCACTGTTTTAGTTTTTATTTTGGGCCATATAGAACGTACAATCGGAAAGGCTAGTAAAATGTTTTATTTTATCCGTCGAAATTTTAGATCCGCGTCGCGAAACGTTAAAGAAACACTTTATTTTTCTTTGGTAAGAACGATCCTTGATTACGCGTGCGTTGTCTGGGACCCTTATCACGACTTCCTTATCAATAAACTAGAAAAAATTCAAAATCAGGCCGCGCGTTTTGTACTGAACAACTATGACCCTTATGCTAGTGTTACAGATATGAAAGCCATGCTGGGATGGGAAACACTCGAATGTAGGCGAAAAAAACTAAGACTAAAATTTTTTCCACCGTGTCTTTCACAACAAAACAGGAATTGATAAAGCCACTTATCTTATGGAGCCATCCTACGTTTCTACCCGTTGTGATAATTCTAAAAAGGTTGCTGTTCCCACTTACAGGACTGACAGTTTTGCGAATTCATTTTTTGTCAAAACCGCGAGAAAGTGGAACGATCTCCCGGAAGATGTTGTGTCCATTGATGATAATGACGTTTTCTTTTTCCACTTGTTATAATGTTTTCTAAAACCCCCCTACAATAATGCCCACAGGGCGATGTAGGTACAATGTAAATAAATAAATAATACTATAGACTAGGGGTGGCCAAGCTGCGGCTCTTCGCGTCTTAAAGGGGCGGTGCAATGATTTTAACACTAAACGAATGCGCAGCTTGTATTTTTTATATTGTTTACTTCGGCATAAGTAAGAGAAAAAGTGCCACAATACCCCAAAATACCTCTATTTCGCTGCGTAATCGTAAAATAAAAAACGCTTTTTTTCCCAACCTGCGGCCACATGGTGGCCGCAAATGGAACCTGTGGTGCGACGTCATTCGGAGTGTTTTTTGTAAGTGATAGTGTTAGGCAATTGTAAGCTTGATTTAAGGTTAAGTTTAAAAAATCTTGTTGTTTAGGCATGCAGAAACGCTTCAAAAGCCTAATATCGCCGCTAAAAGGGTATGAATTATTTGTGGCTCCATCTACCGGAAGTCAACAAAACCTGCCGTCGCCGTCATCCGTCGACGCCCGAGGCGCCTACGGCGGCTACACGAGCAACCCGGACGTTTTGTCTTTCCCTCGCTCGACGGAGTGCGTTGGTCGTGGTCCGTAGTATCGTGGTATCGTTATTGTTCTTGGTGTCTCGACCTCGACTTCGACTTCGACTGCCCGCCGCGTCGCAAGCATCTTGCGCTCGACGTCGCTCAGGCCGTCCGCCCATGCCGCCATGTTGGTCGGGAATCGGCGGGAGAGCGGGAGAGCGGCGAGCCGGCGAGCGCTGGGAAACGGAAGCCAGAAGAATCCAACCGGAAACCAACGCCATTCCGAATGACGTCACAGGCGAAGCTGGTGCTGCTTCAATGTTGAGTTGAGGGGTGCCAGAGATACCAATTTCTTTTATTTTTTTTAATGAAAACTAGGGCAAGCAGGAAAGAATAGTTTTTGGTCCTTCGTTTTATATGTGGCCGGGATCAATTCCCGCAATTAATTAGCCAAAGTCCGCAAATTGTTGCACCGCCCCTTTAAAGAGCGGCTCGCGGCTCCCTCCCCTATCTCCCCCCCCCCCCCGCGCACACACACACACTTTCCCGCCCCCCTTCCTGTCCCACGAGCACTTCCCCAAAAAGAAAAATGGAACCTGTTTTAAATCGAAAGAAAGGTTGCGGTTTGGTAGTCTTGTGCTATGCTGCTACCTTGCTTATAGTTTGACTGCTTTTGACTCGGATAGATTGAAAGTAGTTGGAATTTCATTTATCTCTTTGGACAAGAGTTTGCCCCCGCCCTCCCTCCTTCGCGGCTCTTGGATGTTTCGTGGTTTCGTTTGCGGCTGTTAAGCCGGGTCAGCCTGGCCACCCCCGCTATATATACTTGAGCAAAAATCGTGTTTTGCGCGCTGTCATCTTCGTCTGCTGGGCTTTGGAACGCCTCCTGAGAACGCGATGTTGCACGGTATATCACAAGCTGCGCATATGTCCACAGCTCAGTGACTCAGCATTTTTCGTCCGGGTGATAAGAGATGGAATGGTTTATATTCGGCGACAACGTTTCTTTGCAATGCAGTGGAGAGGAAGAGAGCCAGCGCACAGCTTTATTTAGCGCTCAAAATGGGAGAGGAAACGCATGCCTGTATTCTCCACAGCAATGCCAAGAAAAGTTGTCGCCGAGTATAGTTGTGTTTTAAGTGGAAGGAGAAGTTGTTTTCTTTTAACAGTAAAATCTATAGACATCAGAGATCGCATAAAATGGGGAAGAGGGGATATTAAAACCTCTTTATTAAAACCTTTACCACTCCACCTCGAGCGGCCGCGGGGTAGGTTGATAGAGTAACATGGGGTGAATACGAGCTTTCTATTCTGTCCTGTGACAAAGTAGCATTGCATATGGCAATGGCAACAAAGCCAAATCCAGCTGAAGATATATCAATTGATACCTGGCGCGTTTTATTTTTTTTTTATCTGCATACGTTTACACCACAATCTTAATTTTTTTTTTTTATAAGAAACTTAGGGAAATTAAACTCCGAATTTTGGAGAATCGGACATCAAACAAAACTAAACTGCAATGAACTTCGAATTTTCGGGGAAAAAAAAAGAACTATAAAGAAACACCCACCGAATTGGTCGAAAAATATCTCCGACAGCACGAAATCCTAAGAATCAAGTATCTCACTTATGACAGATAAACAGTGACATGGTTTTAGATGTCATAGCTTTATTAATTCTGTGCAAGATACATTTCACAATTTTTGTCACAGAAATTTAATGCTATTTACTATATCTATATACTATATGCTATATACTATATCCCAAGAATTAAAAGAAATAATTAATATATTATGACATAAAAGCTTCCTCAAATGTTACTGCTGGGAGCCGAGAAGTTACACTCTCGCATTTTATGAAACCCGTTAGCACAAATAATATAGCATCAATATTCCTTTACGGCAAATTTTATACTACATCATTATTAATATCAGGAGAAAGCAAAATATTTTTCTATCAATTTTTTAATGGCCGCCTTTCGCTAAAGTATCTCATACCTGCTACTAATCTTTTCTTATACATGTTTATCAATAGATACAAAAAAGTACATGGCAATGTATGCGCATCATTCTTATAGAGTCAACGTCATCTGAAAAATGAGGACTACTGTATTCTCATCATTGTACAAGCTTGGCATTATTGCACTGCCAATTTTGTTGCAAGGGTTCACCATCAACCTAAAAACTTCCATGTTCGTCATAAAATTACACATGTACCACAACGCTACCGAGTGGTACGTAAACATAATCAGTGGAAATGTGCCTGGTCATGAACAAAAACAAATGTGCATGGAGCTCAGAAAGCGTTTCACTGAATTAACAGTGTGCATCAGATTTGGGCTACAGAGCCAATAAACAAGATAACGTCAGGATCGTGGCAACGGATAAGGAATAGGAATGGGTGATCAACAGTGAAACGTGTGGGAAATGACATGCAACACAACATAACCATAGCCGTGGCAGCAGCAGCCTCAGTTCCCTCTTCGTTCACTTCGATGAAAGCCTTGTGGACCACGTCAGAAACCACGAGAGCATTGTCGGGGCTGATCCCAGAGAGGTCGCACTTCAATGCATCAAACATGTCTTCAATTCCCATCGCAGCCAGCACGTTCTTAAGACCCACTGTGTGCTCCAGCTTGAACCTTGGTAGGCTCAATTCGATGTCGCCTTGGTACGACAGTTCCTGGATAATCTCCCTTATCTTAGAGGACGTCAAAGTTTCCTCGAGGTCCGCGAGCCCGTCAATCTCTTCCGGAAGCAGGATCACCATCGACGTCTTCTGGCCCTTGTAAGGAATTTCGAGAGCACTGACCTTGAAGTTCGGGTGTCGACACATCCTGAATCGCTGCTTGTGGTGCATCATATCTACCATCTTCGTTCGGTCGGCAGTCAAGTGGAATTCCTGTTGAGATGTGCGCTTCGGGTCGAACTGGTCGTGCCACAGCCCTTTGAAGTAGACCGCGTTAATGATGATCAGTGACGTAAAGTCATCAATAGTGCCTTCGGCAAGGAGGTCCTTGATTTTGGATTGTGTAACTTCTTCTACCCACGTGTTCACCTGAAGACGTGCTTTTTCGGCGTTTCGCTTGAAGTCAACTTTCTCGACGGTGGTGCTGTACGACTTCTCCAGAAGGTGCGTAAACACATCAAGCGTGTTGTAGGTTTCCTCGGCGTAGAGGCGGTTGGCAACATGTAGGATGACGTCGGGAGCATAACCGGGAAGTTTAGAAAAGAAGTATGCAAAGTTTTCATGGACGGTGGTGTCCTGCGTTTGAAGGGCGTTCGAGATCTGCTTGGCTGTGTCGTGTTTTGCCCCAGCAAGGGTCATAGACAGCGCAGCAGCAATGCTGAACGGGGAGCAGATAAAGTTACTTGCTCCATCGCTTTCACTCTTCAGCGTCTTGTATAAATCAACGGAGAAGGAGATGAGAGAATTACTAAAATCAGACGCCATGTTGCAATGTCTCGGCGAAGGCGTAGATCCTGAAAAAATAAACCTTCCACATTATTCGGTACGGAGTAAAGTTTAAGATGTACTAACGAATCTAAAGTAAGAATGGGGTTCGAGTAACTTGTTTGCAAATTAATAAAGCTTTTTTTTTTTTTTTTTTTTTTTTTTACGTTTAGGGCTAAAGTTTAAAGCAATTTTTTTTTTTTTTTTTTGCAATCGACATTTTTAAAGACTATACTTCGGTTTTGTTTCGGAAAATCGCGAAACTGGCGGCAGTCAGTGCCTAAGAATAAACGACTGAGCGAAGCCACGCTATCTCGCAACGGGGTGTGGGATGCCTAATCTCTCTGACATCTCGGTTAAAGTAATTACTAAAATTAAAATTACAAGTTCACTACTCACGCGTTTTTTTTTTCTTTTTCCCGTGCTACGAACATATAGAGCTTGCTAGATTGCATTTCAGACGGGTGTTCGACTGATGTATCCTAGCCTAAGCTTGAGAAGGTAGTATTTATGTTGGCGAATAAAAATCAAAATGTTTTTAGCTAGATCATATATTTTTCTGCAATGATGATTTAAATAAAACCTTTTCCGCAGAAAAAAAAAAAAGAATATTCCCCAAAATATATTGAATTTACCATTTTTCTGCATTTTGACGTTTTCCATGCGGATTCGTTTTACATTCACACGAAGGATTCATCAAGCTAGAACGATTTATAGCGGGCTGAACACAAGCAAAAATTGGTGTTCCGAGAAAATCGGTGTTGAGATTCATTTCTACATTCCACTGCGTTCGTCAGTTACGCAATGTCCCTTTGCTAGCAAATGAGAACGCGTAAAAAGGTAATGCCTTACTACAAGGAAACCATAATACAAAAAAAGATAAATAAGGTTTCTTCGTTAAGAAAATGATTAGCTGCTTTCGTTCTAATATGGTGGAGTTTACAACAATAAAAAAAAGTTATTAATAGATCTTTCGGAATTATGTAGTGCCCCCTGCGTCCGGTTTACGCATTGCGACGTTCACATGTACGGCAAGTGAAATTATCCCAGAAGCGAAGACGATGTTGATGTTGGTTTAATAGTACGTGATTTCAGAACGCAGAGAAGGCAGAAGGAAAGCAAAACAGAGAATGAGATGACTTTCTTTTCTGTTCGTTCTATTCTTCTGTGGTGCTCTGAACTTAAAATAATAAAAAAAATAAAGAAAAACATCTTCAGGATTCATCTCTTGGAAGGCCTTCCGAGATTTTCTGTAAAGATATTTAAATCTGTACCTTAAACATCTAAATATGCTATAATTTTTTCTTCCGCATTGGTTTTAGTAATTGGACGAATTGATGAATTAATGTGACTTTTAAATATATCTAGCCATAAAGAAGCAAATTTTTCTAGCTACAGCGATTTCGGTCAACTTAATTTGATTTAAATCAAATGAATTCGATTTAAATCGAACAAATCGAATTTATTTTACTTTTTCAACATCTTGATCTTTGCTTCACCCTACTAGTATCAAATCTGCGTCTAATCAACAGAACAAAGAAAAGAACTCATACCGTTCTTGTCGATGGACGTGCCTTAGTTGTGCCGCGGCTGGCAGTCATATGAACAACGCACACCTGTCGCCGACAAACAAAAAGCAGCAACAAAAAACAACAGTATCTATACGAAGTCAGCGCCACCACCGCGCCCCGCCTGCTGCGTGTGACGTGCGTCAACACAGCAACTGGATCCCAAATCGGATTCGTCCAAGGACGTTGCATTACCTCAGCATTCGAAATGTAGCCATGATGTGGTCACGCTGAGCTGCGCCGGAAACCGCTTGCACTTCCAGGCTCCGTTGCGCGCTCGCTTCGCCTGTCCCGTCGCTTTCCGGCTGTTCCGATTAATCCGGTCGGCCCGGTGCTACTATTAAATGCGACAACATCTGTTGGGGCAGCCTCCCCGGAAAAGTTTCATCTGTAACTCGAAACGCGTGCGCATACGCTGGCGACTTATAAGGGTATGCATTTAGGAGACCGAACAAGACTCCGAGTCCTTCAAGAAGAATTGAAACCAGGATGACAAGCTTTCAAGCCCGATGCTCAATCACTGCACGTCAAGAAAGAAGGCTTAGCTTTGTTTCCTTCTTCTTATCTTCCGCATGCGCGGATATCGGGATGAAGCGCTTGCTGAATGCGCCGTAGCCTCGTTCAGAATGCCTCTTAAAGAGGAAGTTACGGCCTGAGGAGAGCTGAAGAGAAGCAGGGACATGCCGAGTATAACCCACTTTACGGAATAAAAATGAGCGGACATTCGATGCGTAGTTGCCGCCTCTAGTGGTACGCTTCAGCTGTGGGGACAACAGACCGAATTTTCTTTTTTGTTTTTGATCAGAAATATCAAAGATGACAATTCGAAGGCCGCTCCACGTGCAATCAAAGCACTGGTCAGAGCTGAGCGCTCGTGCCCAGACCGTGCTAGACGAGCTTCACTTTCATTGTTATGATGTGTTAGTAAACACCGGGCTGTGGGAACAACAAGCTCGATAAAGCGCCCCCGAGAGCTTAATCTCCTGGCAAATAGAATTCGTCGCAATTTAATCGGCCGAATATGTCATTCGTAGAAGATAAGAAAGGCTCTCGCATTTCGACGTGGTCTGCAGCGGAGCAGCTCAGAGACACGGGCCCGAGTATCAGCCAGCTTTCGAGAGCAGCCTACCATAGCTTCGTGCTCACAATCGCAATCGGCAATTTATGCGATTTGTGACGCAATCACAGCTTGGCATACAAACTCGCGACGTGACTCAATATATCATAAGCAAAACCTGCCTATGTGCGCAATCGTACCGTCGTACTGAACCCCGGGAAACAACGGAAAACGTGTAACAATTATGTACGGACTGGTTCTGCGACGAGAATACGATTAGAATGCGCGTTTCAGCTAGTGTTAAGCAGTGGCGTCACAAGAAGAAGGCGGGGGGGGGGGGGGGGGGGGGGGGCGGACCGCCCCGCGTGCAGCGCTCAGGGGGGTGTCGCGGCGGGCCACGAGAGACGGGGAGGGGGGGGGGGGGGGGGGTGTTGCGGCGGGCTACCGCCCCGGGTGTCACTGACCCTCGTGACGCCACTGGTGTTAAGTCATATTACAAATTAAGTAAAACTCATATACCATACAGGCTAGAAAGTTATTGCACCCAACCCAGCGACAACGTTATTGTACGCGAAAATGGTCTTTATTTCGGCAACATACACATAACCACAACTGCACGCAGAAGCAATAAAAAAACAACAACTAACTACCGCGTTGTGCTTGCTTTTCTCAGTATACTGTAAGAGACCGTTGATATACTGCAAAAAGTTTATCCTATTTCTTGGTCTTTGAAGAAACGTTTCGGCACATTTTCTTGCACCACCAGGTAGACCGTTTCGATATAATCCTTTCCACATAAAGACGCAGTAAGTGGCGTGCGGACAAACTACGCTTCAGCGGGCGTTTTTAGCACGTCATCGAAGTTTCAACGAATCAGAACTCACAAGAAGCTCAGGTTTTTTGTGTTCTACGTTGTTTGGCTAGGTGGTCGGCATTTCTTGAAGCGTGGACAAACCTTGACCGCGAGGCTCGACATTGATGGGTTTTGAGTAAGGGTGCCGCGAACTTTTTCGAACCGAAGTTGCGATGATCAAATCAAGCGGTTCGGAAGTTCGAAAGACTTCGCATTGTCGACCTCACTATATTGAAAAATTCGTCGAAAGTCGAATTTTCGACTTGTTAAACTAAAACGTTCGACGATTTTTGAAAATTCGAACCTCGCACGTTCAGAAATGCAGTTTTTTTCCAACCTTCAAACTTATTACGATAAAAAGTTCGATCTTTTTGGAACTTATTACGCTGCGCAATTCGACGGTTGTCAAACTTTCGACCTTGATACACAAAAAATTCAATGATGTTCGAACTTTCGACCTGCTTGCACTAAAAAGGTCGAACTTTTCGACCTTTCAAATGTCCTACGCTAAGAAATCGATAATTTTCGAACTTCGAACCTATTTATCTAGAGAACTCGAACATTTTCGAACTTTCGAACCTATTTATCTAGAGAATTCAAAAATTTTTTAACTTTCGATCTTGAAAAGTCAAAAGTTCGACAAACTTCGAACTTTTAGGGTAAAAGGTCGAAGTTCGTCGAACTTCGAAAGACCAGCGGGCGGTTTCATTTGGATTCAAGCAGTGAAATACATTCGTAATTGTTTTTCTCCAAATTTTAACATGGGGTGCCGCATTCCTTGCGAAAGGCAATGCCGTTTATTTCAATGCTCTGACACGTTTAGTTTTAAAGAAATAAATTCCCGAAAGAGCGACGAAGGACGACGGGTTTTTGACGATTGTCGTTTCTGCCATATTTGAAGCGCGCTATAGCCGAAGCTATTTATGGTAGAGATGCTAAACTTTCTAAGAACGATCTATGTATACCCTAGGCGAGTGTCGTCTTAAGATATGTTTATTGTTATTCAAGATTAGTTTCAAAGAAATGTCCAAACATGTACCGTATATACGCGAGTAATGGCCGCACTCGTGTAATAGCCGCACCCCTAACTTCCACAAAAAAAAAAAAAAAAAAGCCGAACAAAATCTATTTTAAAATTACCAGTGTATAGGCCGAATCTATGATTTTGAAATCGTAGGTGCGGCCATTTTTTTTTTCAAGTAGTGCCGGCAGATGGCGCCCACCCGGCTGCGGCAGCCAACAACATTGAGGCACTCTATCCTGTTTGTTTGCGCCTCTCGCTTTATCTCGAGCAATCTCGAACCAGACGCAGTGTATCTCTCTGTGTTTGCGACTACCCCCAGTTTCCCGCTGTCACCCACTTCAGGCTTCTGGATGGGGAAGCACACGAGTTACACGGCCGGCTTTAAACTCAAAGTTATTGCCTTTGTTCAAGACAACAGCAAAAGAGCAGCCTGCCTAAGTTCGGTGTCGACGACGCCGAGTCGCTGGACGCCGAGACAAGTTTCAAAGATGAGTGATC